GTCATTACTGCACGACTACACGATGAGAAAAACCTTTAAAACGACACAACAGATCACTAGTGCACGACGGCTGAGCGACAATTATTTGAAAGACAATCCCTTTAAAATCCTGTCGTTTCCAACAGTGCTACGCCGCGGCATTAAGCTACCATTAACTGACAAAAGATTTGCTGCGTTTGGTGGCGGCCTAATGCACTATACTGACGTTATCCCTCAACACTAGTACAGTCAATCCTCCAGCTATATATATATATAAACATATATATATACGCTCACATCACACCCTGAGAGCACGGGACTGGTGCAGCTCTGACACAGACAGAAAATGAAAAAGCCAACAATAAAGCTAAACTGTTAAACGACCTTCCAGCGCACTTTACTTTTTTCTTTTACTGCACAATCAATGTGCTGTTAAGAGACAGATCAAAGACTTTTTTAAAAAACGCTGCTAAGGCCGGTGTAATTATGAGCCGAAGCTGACAGACAAGGGAGGAAAAAAAAGAACAAAACAAGACGAGAGTTTAGAAGTTTGATGACTGGGCTGATTGCAGGTCGAGCGGTTATTGGCACAGTTAAACGTCAGATCGAAGATTATGCATTACTTTACTGATTCACTGTAAAATGAATAAGTTAGAAACGCTGCGTCCTACTATCGGTCGTCACTCTGTGATTTTTTCCCAACAACTCATTAGTTATTGGTCATAAATAAAAGCAGATCATCACTGGAGGATAAATACTGGAAAGTGCAGTTTTCAGACAAACAAAGGGAAGTTTTGGGTTGGAGTTTGGATCAATCTAGAGTCTAAAAATTTCACTTTTATTGCAAATAAATATTGGTTGTACCAGTTTCCTTTAGTAATAAGACTCTGCATAAGTATTGGTGATAAAAAAAAGAAGCTAGCGGTCGACCCGAAGTTCTGTCTCTTCTTCAAATTGCACCTGAGACGACGCCAAAGCTGTGCAGATTCTTTAAGGTCGCTTCGTCTAACTTAAAAACCTAATACCGACTGCATATGTTTACTTGTGACTTCTTATTTAGCTCAGTCATCATTGGGAAGTCCTTTTAAAAGAACATATTTCCAACAATCGGCAAACATTACACCCCAAAAACTGTGACATTATCGAACATTTTATTTCCAAACCGTGGGCATTTATTTAATAATATGCACCACAATAGCATTTCTGGAACAGAAAATGTGGGAAGCCGCCTGCAGCAATGTGCTGCCATTCAGCCACAAGAGTATCAGCGAGGTCAGGCACTGATGTCGGGTGATAAAGCCTGGCTCACGAATGGAGCTCCAGTTCATCCCAAAGGTGCTGAATGGAGTGGAGGTCTGAGCTCAGGACGAACAGGCCTTCCCTAAACTGTAGATGGAAGCACATTTTGTCTAAAATATCCCCACATTATGTCGCATTAAGATCTCTCTCAATTGGAACGAAGAGGCTCGCATCATGAGAAACCCTGGAGCAGAAGTATGAAGCCGTGCAGAACACGAGCAAATAGCTCAGAGTCGTGCTGCCAATAAAATATTTCCACGTTTTACGCTCCGTGTGTGTTTTTTAGCCGTTTAAGCAACGTAACATAAAAGCGGGCCGAACAAGAACCACCCAGTTAAACGTTCAAACAAGAAGAAGATGTTTACATTGCTGCTGCTAATTGAAATGTATAGCCACGTTTCCAGCACTTCATCAATTCCCCAGTTTTGCGATGCATGCTGTATTAATGAATTCTCCCTTCGGTGGAGCAGAAGCGATAAAACAAAATTAGTCAGCCTAGAAGTTAAGGCGAACGTTCAATCCCCGGGCGGAATCAAGGAACAGACGTTTCCTTATTTTAAGATTTCATCCCAGCACCCAAAAGTGAAATTCTGCAAGTGCCACTCAAGGAAACTGCTGAATCACACGCAGTTTAAAATAATGCAAATAGTGGAGACTTACTGTTGAATGCAAAGTGAAAAAAGACCCAACGAACAACAGCTCACTGCAGCAGCCTGGACTGTGCACGTGAGGCTTTAAATAACGGCTAAACGGAAGACATTTTCCCAAGAATCAGAAGTGCTCAACAGGCTTTCATCGCAGCCAAACACAGCTGTGCCCCTAGAAATAACCCAAATAGTGACCCACGGTGGCAGCGTGGCAGCCACGTGAGCCGCGCAGCTAAAAAAACAAGGTCAGATATGTGCTTTGCCATGTGCATGTGACCCTGTGAGGTCTGTTTTTGGTCTGGGTAGAAAATAGTAGGTCAGTTCACTTCACTAACTTGCCCCTAAATCGAAAGAAGGCGCCCGGGCCACCAGATGAAAAAAAAAGGGGGGCAGTTTGTCACAGCTTTGCGTGCTGAATCATGCTGTTTATGCAGCAGGCCGGAGGTGGTGTTCCAGCCAGAGGTGAGCTTCCAGCGCTGCTGCAGTCGCCTGGGTCTGAACCCAACGGGAAGCAAATCAGATATCATGAAGCCAGGGACGCATCCTTCAGCCTGCAGAGTGTCAAGAAGGATCACATTTAAGGGAGGATCTGATACAATAGCATGAAAACACTGTTGGTGTTTAGAACAAGCTTCAACCGCAATCAAAAACAAATTGAAGATAATGTTTAAATGTGGACTCGCTAATAACACAGAAGTATTCATTGACCTCGTTTGAAGACGAGATGTACGTTAACATTTTAATCTCACTCTCAAAATGCCGTCCTCTGAACAAACAGTGACAGCAGATAAAAGTCTGGGAATAAACGTGGTCAAACAAGCCAGGAGGAGGAAAAAAGGGAAGAAAGAAAATCAGGCTTCCCTCAACTGAAAGGGCTTCAGATGCTGCACAGCTGGGCTAATAATCGTATTGGATTGTGTTATGGGCAGGCCGGATTATTCCACTTCTCGTAAGTCCCTCTGCTTTCACAGCTCAATCAACCTAATGGCAAGAAGGTCAAGAGTCAGGAAGTGATTTTACTCAGGCTATACAATGGAGGGCTTTAAGGCAACACGGCTCCTTTGTGTTTCCACTGATAACTACACATGTGCTTTAAAAGACAGAAATGCCCCGACCTGACCTTTCACCCTGTGCCTACATTGATTATTTATGATGAACACCGTCCTGAGAAACCGTAAAGGTGTCGTCCACTCTTCACACACTGATAGATGTTAGGTCTTCGTTCCACAGAGAAGAAAACAAATCAATAGAGATTGTTTTTCATTTGCAACACGCTATGGATTTAATAGTTTACTATATGATGTAGTAACAAACTAATTATATAGCAGCTAATGTAGTTGCTTTATAATGTATCCCTGCGCTATATGGGAAGTGCTTAATCGTCCTTGTCCGTGTGGGCAGCGCGGGGTCTGTGTGGTTTCCTAATGTGTTCTGTGTTGGGCTTTTTTCCCACAGAAATTGCATTACACTGCACTCCCTGGTCATTTGGTTGCATCAGTAATTACCTGCCTGTTGAGAATCAAACAAACATCTGTCTGCACAGCGGCGAGCTGCCGTCTCTAACCTGTCTATACGGGCATGCTGTGCTGCTCGCAGCTTCCGATGACATGACTGGGTAATTTTTGACCAGTTTCAAGTCGGGAGTATCGGTCCGTAACGTGGCTGGGTTCGTCTATCTTTAGTGGCTCTTACAACAACGTCGGGTTCTTTTGTGAACAACGTCCTTGCTAACTCTGTTCAAACATGAGCGGGCTATTTACAGATAAGAAGCCTGATGTCCGTGAAAGAATTGGCAAACAAAACAAGTCTGAAAGATAGTAGAAATGTGCCATGCAAAGACATTTACATCCAAACTGTTTTGATTTGTCATGCTCGGCGTGGAGAGGAGGAGGAGGAGGAGGATGAGGAGGTAGTAGACCGCCACAGCATCTTGAGCTGAAAAATGGCTGGATGATAATGCCAACATGTAAAATTGCCATATTTACAGATGACACTCTTTAATGCCACTAGACAAGACTATTACGTTAGATGTTAAATGAGATAGGTGGCCGTGTGTCTCCTAAAAGAGACAAGAGACCCAGCCGGCTGTAATTTAATAATACGGAGCCAGAGTGATAGATGATGGTGACGGAGAAGACAGTGAAGGGAGGGAGGAAAAAAAAAGTCCATTCTATAGCTCCCAGGTAAGTAAACAGACAGGCCTGAAATGGGAAGTCATTCTTTGTTGACAAAGAGCAGTCATGGCAGATAAGCTGAGAGGGATAATTGTCTTATCTGATTCAGTATCTATACGAGCGTGTGTTTGCTTTTTGTAAATCAGCAGGCAAGAGGGAGAATTATGTTTCTGTCAGAGCCCTCAGAGGCACACTGCAGAGTCACGATGCCCATAACATACCTGCGGAAACCTAATTCATTATCTCTGCTTGTTCCTACTTAGGGGGTTGTTGTACAATCCTCTGGTTGTCTGTTTGCTGCTATCGTCCACATCGTTTTGTTTTTTTTTGCAGCATCTTCTCTGTTTAGTTAGAAAATAGAAGATGAGAAGATGCATATGCTGGGAGGGGGGAGTGCAAACATGGCCCCAAGAAGGCCTCAAAATTCTGTGTTTATTAATTATTAACCGTGAGAAGGAAAGGTTAGACAGTGAAGAATCACGCCGAGCCTAATAGAGCACGGAAATGAACTGCAGACGTCTACACACAGTCAACAGCACGCCGCGATGTGTAGCCGTGTGTGTTTGAGTGTGTGATAATGTTGTGTAATTGTAAGTGCAGGGAAGGATAACCACAGCCCCCCGAAAAAATAAAAAATAAAAAGCTGCCGAGCAAACACAGACACAAACACTGTGGAAGAGGAGGCGAGGGAACTGGTAATGAAAGATGCTTTAAGTGGCGACGATAAAAGATTGAGAATCGTGTTGGAACCGGAGACGTTGGTTTCGCAGAGAAGATTAAATGCATGGCGGATATGTGCGAGGATTATTGTTGGGGAATACTAGCGCCATAAATCTAACAGTGTTTCAGTAAAACAGCAAAGAGCTTGCGAACGAAAAGATGAAAAAGAAATGAGAAGGTTTTCTTTGAAGGATGGATGCGTATGGAAACTGTCTTCTACCTTTAGTCTCTAATGTAAAGAAAACTGATCAAATATCCAACTTTAATTTTCCTTTAAATTCAGTCTGATAAAAGCACTTTTTTAATCATATTCCTTAAATAATTACACAGTTCCCTCCCGTCTCCCTCAGCTTCCAGAGCATGTGTGTTTTGTCAAGTGGAATGTAATAATCAGGCGAGGCTCTTTGTGTAAGGCTCTCATTACCAATGATTAACACAGCGTCTTTCTCCATGCCTCTCAGGAAACATGGTGAGCAAGGAGGGTGGCAAATGCATGCTCACCAACTCAGAGTCTGACTCGGAGGCGGCGCCCTTGCCCTCCACCTCGCTGGCGCTGGAGGTGAAGTATTCCCTGGAAGCCAGTCGACAGGTGAGGAAGCGAAACAAGGCCCTGCAAGTGCGTTTCAAGGACATCTGCGAGGCGCAGAACGAGCAAAGGGAGGCCGAGTTGCAGGCAGCCGGGAAAGGTGGCAAGCCAATGTCATACAAAGTGGCGTACCGCAAGTACATGACCGTCCCCGCCCGCAGATCCATTCCGAATGTCACGAGGAGCACGGGCGTCCAGACGTCGCCTGACCTGAAGAAACGCTACCAGACCTTTCCCTTTGAGCGCAAAAAAGGCCACACCTTTAAACACATGGCGGCCGTGGAAACTTATAAAGGTCAGAATAACGGTTTTGTCATGGAGGTGAAGCAGTCCAAGGCAGCTGAGCGGGGTTTAGATGAGGAGGAGGAGGGAGCCTGTGGGGGGAGCGGAGTCCTGAGGACCAGGGCTCTGCTCCATACTAATGAGTGCATTGCCACAGTGGAGCAGCACACTGCACCTGATGGCCTGTGCTCTGACGCTCTGCTGCTCAGTTGCACTGCAGACACAGACTGCCTTGCAGACACACCGAGAGGAAGCGGAGCCGGAGCACAGGCAGAGTACCAGCTCTGCAGTATCCCATCCAAAGCCAGAACAGGATTACAACACAGGGAGGCCGACGCGGACCGCTCGGCCAAGAGGCAGCTTCTCAATCTGGAGGAGGGCTCGTCCCGAACCCTGCCGGACAGGGCCTCCAAGGTTACGGGCCCCATCGCCTGGAACTCCCTCACACAGGTGGAGTGCCTGGATAGCCCATCTGTGCGGAGCAAGCGGAAGAAAGGCCTGCAGCTCAACGGGCTCTCGAGCGAGACGTTACCAAGATCCAGCGGAGGCTGTACAACGCAGGCACAGTGCCACACAGGACAGCTATCTGCCCGGCCTATACGGGGCATGGAGGAGCCTCTGTCACCCTGCATAGGCGGCGAGGCAGACAGGGCACCCTCCGACCAAACACAGGAAGCCTGTAAGCAAATAGTGCCTATGAATCAAGACGGGGATGTTAAAGCACAGCTCCAGGCCATGGAAAATCTCATCAGCTCCAGCCAAGAGACCATCAAGGTGCTGCTGGGGGTTATCCAGGAACTGGAGAAGGGAGAGGCCCACAGAGAAGGGTAAGACATCTCACTTCAAGCCTGTACTTTGCAATACTAATGCCATAGCAGTGTTCTGACAAACTGAGATTAAACCTTTTTACAGCTAACTGGATGGAATTCAAAGGGGGCAAATTTTATGCAAAGTAATACAAGGCCAGAGATTGATGTGACACTAAAAAAAAAAAAAAGAGTCAGTGACCAGCTGTAACTGAGCTCATTGTGGAAGAACAATTTTATAGCAACAATGAACGGTCACGTCAGGGTGAGAGCTGATCTATTTAATACTATAAGATCAGTTTGTGCCCTCATGCTTACAATGGTATCACAGCTACAAAAAGACACGTCATGAATCTACAAATGAGAACTGACAAAGAGGTCTGGAGTTCACAGGGTTAAGTCAACATCAGAGACACGGAGCACATCCATGATTGAACACGAACGGGGAATCTCCCCTATTGATGTGTCATGCGATTTCTGGATTCGAGGGAAAGTCTCGTATGTGTCACAGCTGCTCAGCAGAGCTTTAACTGAACCACACAAAGAGTATCAAAAAGAGATCACAGCGCATTGTCGCTGGATGATGTGGCTTTCACCTGGATGTGCCCTGCAGTGCTATTACAACGCACAAGCCTTTGGTGATGGTTTTCCTCCAGATACGGTGGCGCCGCCGCCGCAGAGCAGAGCAGACATTTCCTTCTTGCTCATTTGGTCCAAGTGGTTTGATGGCCTGCTGCATGAAACCAGCTGGAATGTTCTCGATGTTTCTGAACTGACTCAGCCACTGACGGCACCAGCCCGTCTGTCAGATCAGTGTCAGTGTATCAGCGAGGAGTTTTCTACAGAACCGATAGAAGTGCTAATCGCCAAAATTTGACCATGACAACATGTGAATTGGATGAAAGCATGAATAGAATTCTGACATAGAAATCAAATTATGGAACTTTCAAGCTGTTTCACTGCTTAAGCAAAACACCAAACTGGACACTGGTCCTCTATAGTGTTTATCTAGTAAGTCCAAGGTCTTTGGAAAAGCCTTGGCCTGTGAAAAAAGCCATTTACTGTCCAATGGATACTGAGCATATACAAAAGGGCTGCAGATAGCATCAGGCCTGCTGAAATAGAGGATTGTCTATCCAAAGGGACGAGGCAAACAAAATGGCCAATTTGTTGAGCGAATTGCTGGGACTGGCCAGTCAGATCCCTATCTGTTTTGACCAGCACCGTGTTACGGTACGGCGAAGAGAAAGTCACGAAATCAACAACCTGTTGCAAATATACACAAACGCGTGGAGCCGCCGCCGACGCTTCACACTGTATGAAAACAACTCTCAGTGTCAATCTGACTGAATGAGATGGTTAAACTCCTTTTCAACGGGCCTTGAGCGAGGAACAGATCTCACGGCAGTCTTGAGTTTACGCGATCTAAAAAGGCAATCATCCTCCTCCAATCTCGCACAAGGCAACCTTAATCTCCTTATCACCAAACTCATAAAAGTGTAGCGTGAGTGAAAAAAAAGTAGGCAGACATGTGGTGTAGCACGGGGAGCCATCTTCAGTGTGTTGCCGAGCACATCTGGCTTATCAGATGTGTCTAAAGTGGCAGGTGGGGAGAAGGAGAAGGAG